TTCTTGGGTGTTACTCAGATTTGGCCTGAACAGCAGCAGCATCCCCTGGGAGCTTGTTAGATATGCAGATTCTCAGGCCTTACTCCAGACCAACTGAATCAGAATCTGCATTTAAACAAGAATCCCTGGTGATATACCTTTAGTTGATGTACCCAGTTGGAGCCGGAAAGATGAGAAGGGCAGTGTGGTTATCAAATCACACAAACTGAAAGTGGGAGAAGGATGATTGCTCAAAGAGAATCTGAATGCTCTTATCAGAAGGCAGAATGGATATCAGGCATGCAGAAACCAGAGGTATCTATTATAATATATAAAATGTACTTAGCAATTATATACCAATAATGTATACTGTACTATGTACGGTGCCTCTTTCAAATATTATATAGTATTCACAACATCCTATAAGACATTATCAGATAGGATACCCTGGGCTTCAAGTGATTAATTTATCAAAAATTTTTATTGGGGAGTCAATAAGAGAATTAATCTATACTGTCAAGTAGTTATAAGTACCCTGGAGAATGATTAAGCAGAATAGAGGGATGATAGAGCAATGATGCAGGATGATGGGAGGGAGGGATCAATTTAGGGAGGAAGGTCAAAATGAATCTGAGGAAGTGAAATCTTAGCAGACACTTCAGTGTAGTAAAGGACAACTTGTGGAAGTTCCTGGTTAATACCATACCAGACAGGAAAAAAGACAAGTAAAGCTGTCAATTGGGAATGAACTTGGCATGTGTGAAGAAAAGAATAAAACAAAAAAGCCAGTGTGGCTACAGTGAATACAGATGATTAGGTCATAGAGATAATCAAGATTCACTTTATGAAAGATCTTAGCAATGGCTGGAATATTGTCAATTATTCTTAGCACAATGAAAAAAAACCATTGGAAGCTTTGGAGCAGGGTAGTGACATGACTTTATATTTCAAATATATTGTGCAGGGAGTCGGCAATAGTGAATAAAGGATAGATGGAGAAATGCAAGATGTCACCTGTTTCAATGCTAGTTCAGGTAAGAGATGACAGATTATTGCAACCAGGATGGCAAAAGGGAGTTTTGAGTGGCTGAAGACATACTGTGAGTGTAGAACAAATAGGAATTGCTAATGAACTGAGTGTGTGTGTGTGAGTTAGAGATAATTACTCTTATGTCTTTGCCCTGAGAAAATGGCTGGACATTTGTGGTAATTGTTGAAATGGAGAACACTGGAGATGAATGAAGTTGGAAAATCAAGAGGACTATTTTGGACATGACAAATTTGGGATGCCTATTTAGATCCCGGTGAAATTGTTGGGTAAATAATTGGATAAAGTACTTTGGAGAGGTTTGGGTTGCAGATAAGAGTTTGGGAAACAAGTGGAGAATGACTAAAGCAGATAGAGGGATAGAACAATGACCCCAGATGATGGGAGAGAGGGATCAATTCAAGCCATGGAACTGAATAATTCAGGCTCTACTTCACAGTCTTTCATTGACACAGGCTAATAAAGGCCTCACCATCTTGTAGCCATGCCCACTGTGGTACAAGGCCTCCTCAGCTCCTATAGTAGAGGAAAAAAAAAAGAGCTGGAGGGTGTCATACCTGGTCTCCTGTCTTTAGGACAAGAAGTGACATTTGTACCTTTCCCCTATTGTTTATTCCCCAGGACTAGTCAATGTCCTTGCCTAATAACTGCAAGGACTGGGAAATGTGGAAAAATATATGAATTTTGGGTGACCACTGCTGTGTTTCATATAATATCTCACTTTTTTAAAGGGCTTAATGAATAATTTTTAGTTTTAGTTTTATTTCCAGTATGGTTAACATACCGTGTTATATTGGTTTCAGGTGTATATACAGTGATTCAACAATTCCAGACCTCACCCAGTGCTCATCATGACCAATGTAGTTCTTAATCCCTATCACCTATTTCATCCACTCCCCATTAATCTCCCTTCTGGTAACCATGGGGTTTGTTCTCTATAGTTAAGAGTCTTTTTCTTGGTTTCTCTCTCTCTCTCTCTCTTTTTTCCTTTGCTCATTTGGTTTGTTTCTTAAATTCCACATATGAGTGAAATCATATGATATTTGTTTTTCTCTGACTGACTTATTTTGCCTAGCATTATACTCTCTAGCTCTATCCAGGTCACTGCAAATGGCAGGATTTCATTCTTTTCTGTGGCTGAATTATATATATGTATATGCACGTATATATATATACATATATATATGCACGTATATATATATATATATGCATGTGTGTGTGCGCGTGTGTGTGTGTGTAATTGTGATATATAGATCACATCTTTATTCATCTATCAATGGACACTTGTCTGCTTTCCTAATTTGGCTATTGTAAATAATGCTGCTATAAACAAAGAGGTGCATCTATCCCTTTGAATTAGTATTTTCATATTCTTTTGGTGAATACCCAGTAGTGTGATTAGCAGATTGTAAGGTATTTCTTTTTTTTTAACTTTTTAAGGAAACTCCATACTGTTTTCCACACTGGCTCCATCAGTTTTCACTCCCATCAATACTGCAAGAGGGTTCCTTTTTCTCCCCATCCTTGTCAACAGTTTTGTGTTTTTGACAGTTGTGATAGCTCATTATAATTTTGATTTGGATTTCTCTTATCATCATGGTAAATGATGATAAGCATCCCTTTTCATCTGTCTGTTGGCCATCTGCAGGTCTTCAGAGAAATGTCTGTTCATATCTTTTTCATGTTTTTTAATTGGATTGGTTTTTTTGGCTATTGAGTTGCATAGGTTCTTCATGTATTTTGGATACTAACTCTTATAATTTCTGGTTTCTTTGTGGGTAAAAACAGAGGGGGAAAAAGCTATCCTCAGCAAAATATTAATATAATCCCATAGTATTTTTGTGCATTTCTAACAGTAATTTAAAGTTATCATCTAGGACTAAGACAAAACCTATGTTGTAGTGGCAATGCCAAGGGGTGGTTTAGAGGTGGTAATGTGAGAAGGTTTTAGCTTCTCCTAAGAGTATCTGACAGTATCCAACAACCAAATCTTTGCCAAATTTGATGTAGGCAATTAACATTTCTCTAATGTAAAACATATGTAACTGAATCTTCAAACTCCTTTTTAATCAGAATACTGCTCATAAAACCCTTCTAGGAAAGGAGTGCCTGGGTGGTTCAGTTGGTTAAGTATCCAACTTTGTCTCAGGTCATGATCTCATGGTCCGTGGGTTCAAACCCCTGTGGGCTCTGTGCTGACAGCCCAAAGCCTTGAGCCTGCTCTTGATTCTCTGTCTCCCTCTCTTTCTGCTCTCCCCCACTCACTCTCTGTCTCTCTCTCTCTCTCAAAAATAAATTAACATTAAGAAAAAAATTTTAAAGCCTCCTAGAAAAAAATTCTGGAGCCAGGACTACTACTACATTTTAATATGATGGAAAAGGAAGGATACTGATAGATAAATAAACTACCTTAATTAAATTTACCCACTTCAAAAATGAAACAGAACAGTAAAACTGATGGTCGAATTAAGTCCTCTGAAGCTATAGTGCTCCCTTTCTTTTTTTGGGTCCAATAGCATCTCTTTATATGATTTTCAAGACTGTTTATTAGATCATTGCAATTGATGTAGCACTTAACACAAAGAGAATTCTTGTAGTGATCTATTTTGTAAATGTTTTCCAGCCTCTCTCTTTGAAGGTTACTCTCCAGATTGGAAGTTCTGAATAGAATTATTTTGAAAGCAAATATTTATGTATTTAAAAAGCCCAAAGACCTTGTTGTTTTCCATCCAAACACCAGCTAGAAAAATCAATATTGTCTTTTAAAAGGAAATGGTTTGGCTGCTTAAGCATCATCAGAATGCCTTCTAACAATACTAAGGCATTTAATTATGGAAAAACAGAAATTCTGAAGAATTTTTGAAGATCAATGGGGACGGGGGGTGGGAAACTAACAGGTGATGAACTTCAAGAGTGTTGCCTCTTGAATACAGTGACTCAAATAATGACAATAGTTACAAACATTTGGATGATCTAAAAAATTATTCATTATTTTATAGAAGGATTGTTAGATTTTTGCTGCTTAATGGGGACAGTATATACTAAGTACTGGGCCGTGTTTGTGCAAGCGTTTGTGCCCAAATCTGGTTGCTTATTTGTCTTCAAGAAACAGGTTAAACAGAATCCTTTTCAAAATAAGAAATGTAATCTTCTCATCATTTATTTCAGTCAAATCATTTTTAATATTGATAGTAATAAGCAAATAATACCACTGTGATTTCTTTTTATGTAAAATTAGCATTGTTGTTTTTAATTATCAACTAGAAAGCATTTTTTATGATTAATGAAAATATTCATTTTAATTTCACATTGTGCTGTTACATGAAGTGAAATTAAGCATTTTTAATGTACATATGTGAGTATAAGCCATTTGTTTATGTTAGCCTCTTATCTATTTACTAACTTATCTAAGAATTTGATCTGGCTTACATTAATTAATTAATTAAATAATACAGAAAAAAATCAGGTCTCTGACAGACCTAGAGTAAAAGTTCAAGGAAAGAGAAAGGGAGCACACAGAAGTGTTTATTGTGAGGATCATATCTATATAACTATCATGAAATCTATGGTGGTAAGTAAAAGATACTACGAAAATATGAGGTTTGGCATTTTTAATAAAGAGAAGCAGCTACATTATCACACAGCTCAGTTAAGCTTTGATTATGAGATGTTAAATTAATATCAATTTACACTTATTTGATTAATTATTCAGTCTAAGAAGTGTAAGTACTTGGTAATAAATATTTGCATTTGAAAAGTCATAACCAAAGGAAAATCTGTTTTTGAGATCTATTTCATGTACTAATTGGTTGCTAGTAAGAAAATCAGTGTAGTAGCAGCTGCAAATGCAATTGAATTTGATGGAATTATAATTATAGAGGGGAAAAACACTGATAGCAAAGTAAACAGAGTGGAACAGTACTAAAACAAAAATAGAGCAAACTGATTTGTGTGTTTCTCTGAAAAATTCCAGGTGTTGTCAAAGTGGATTATGGAGATGTGTCAGTCAGAAAAACACTGAGAGAAAATCTGAAGTGTAAGCCCTTTTCTTGGTACCTTGAAAACATCTATCCAGACTCCCAGATCCCAAGACGCTATTACTCACTTGGTGAGGTATGAATTATTTATTTTGGTTAAGTTATAAATATATTTTGCAAATAGAGCAATTTCTAAGGAACTCAATTTTTTTTATGTTATGAATAAAATGGTTTAAGTGTTTTTAAATAAGTCTATTTTAAGTAACCTCTCAAGTCACTTATAGTCTCAAGGACCATAAGGTCTTTATCACTGGGATTTGCAAAAGTAAGCGATAGTTTAAGATTAAATCGTATTTTCTTGTTTATTTACCAACAGGTCAGAAACTTTTTGGTCATATGGACCTTATGCTCTTATAATTTCTTGGGAACCCTAAGAGCATTGGTTTAAGTGGGATAAAACTCTATTTCATGTATTGAAACTAAACCTGACAACTTTAAAACCTATTAATTCATTAAAAATAATGTTTCTGGGAACATCTGGGTAGCTTAGTTGGTTAAGTGTCTGACTTTTTTTTTTTTTTCCAAATAGTTTATTGTCAAATTAGTTTCCACATAACACTCAGTGCTCATCCCCACAAGTGTCCTCCTCCATGCCCATCCCCCCTCCCCCCCACATCCATCAGTCCTCAGTTTTTGTCAGCATTCAAGAGTCTCTCATGGTTTGTCTCTCTCCCTTTCCCCCACCATTTCTCCCCTTCTTCTCCCCCTTGTTCCTCCGTCAAGTTCCTCCTAATCCTCCTATACGTGCACACATATGATATTTGTCCTTCTCTGCCTGACTTATTTCGCTCAGCATAACACCCTCAAGGTCCATCCATGTTGCTACACATGGCCAGATGTCATTGTTTCTCATTGCCATGTAGTATTCCATGGTATAGATAAACCACATCTTCTTGATCCATTCGTCTGTTGATGGACACTTAGGCTCTTTCCATGTTTTAGCTATTGTGGAGCGTGCTGCTATGAACATTGGGGTACATGTGCTCCTATGCCTCAGCATTTCTGTATCCCTTGGGTAAATTCCTAGCAGTGCTATTGCTGGGTCCTAGGGGAGTTCTATTGTTAGTTTCCTGAGGAACCTCCACACTGTTTTCCAGAGGGGCTGTAAAGTGTCTGACTCTTGATCTTAAGGTCATAAGTTCAAGCTTTACATTGGACTCCATGCTGGGCATGGGGCCTACTTAAAAAAAAACAATGATGATATTATCCATTACATGTTAATATAAGTAATATGTTTAAAAAGTAAATATATTTTCTGAGGCAAAATCAAACAGTAAGATAAACATCAGTTATATTTTTGTAAATTTCATTACTGTCTGGCCTAATAGAAGTTAACTGGACTCGTCGATTTTGGTACTCGGCACTGTAATATCACACATCATGTAGTCTCTAAGAAACTCCTTGTACATCAGTGAGGAGTAATATCTCAGTGTTATTTAAATCATGTTGACTGTGTAGACCCACTGAAAACCATTGATCCTTTTACCATTGTTTTCTAAAATATTATCTTTAGAAATACACAGTTGGCTTCATTATGACTATAAAGCATATTATATATTCACTTGCTCAAACTAAGAACCATACCTTTATGAATTTTATGTTCCACGTTTTTAATTTCTCACTGAATAGGGATTAGATTTGAGAATCAAAACTAATTTAATAGTTATAATTAAAGAATTTTGACAACAATGATACAATGCACTTAGAAGATAATTATTAAGTTTGTCCTTAGATTGAGCTTGCCATTTTCTTGGATCATAATAGAATATCTGATATGTGTAGGATATAATCTAACACTTTTTTGGTACATTTGCTGAAAATAGAAATCTATAACTTTAATCTATAAACGTAATTTATTTATGATTAAGTAGAAAATGAAGAAAAAAAATACTGAAACTGAATGGATCTCTGGCTGAATTGTTTTTTAAAGGCTGTTTTTCTGTGTCACATCCTGGCACTGTCTGTCAGCCATGCAAATATCTCCTTATAGAAACGTTCAGTTTACGTTTATTTAACCTTGAAATAAATGATGTAGTACAAAGATTCATGTGTAGTAACAGTGAATGTATGACTTTCTAAGTGTGAGTCTAGTTAATAGTCCTGTGCCTCAGGGTTTTTTTTTTTTTCATTTTTGTTGGCTTTTATCGGGGGGAGGGGGTTCGTGCCATTGTTTTCAAATATGTAATATTTCCATGTAAGTACTAATGTTATTGATTTATATTTATTACATAAAATGAGTGATTTTTAAACCAGAACACTGTTTGCATGCTAGTTATTATGATCTAATGTTACTGAAGATCCCCAGTGTCTAATACTTTCATTTCTTTACTGAAAAGTTTAACAGTTGTGAACCTGACTGTACCCTAAGGAGAAGGGCATGTTCCTGTTCTTGTAGTAGAGCATTTCTCTGGTTGCAGTCAGTGGACCCAGCTAATGAGTAAACATTACTTTTTCTAAAACAAGGTATAACCAGGGCATATAACAAAACAGATATGAGTAAGGCACACTTTTTTGGAAGATTTCTGGGGCCACCAGAGTGACTCCTGAGAAAAAGCTCTAAAACAGAACCTAGATATTTACTTCTGTGTTAAAAATCCAACTTTATGGGGCGCCTGGATGGCGTCAACTTAGGCTCAGGTCATGATCTCACAGTTCCAAGGATTGGTTCCCATGTCGGGCTCTGTGCTGACAGCTCAGAGTCTGGAGCCTGCTTCAAGTTCTGTGTCTCCCACTCTCTCCGTCCCTTCCCCACTCATTCTCTCTCCCCCTCTCAAAAATAAACAAACATTAAAAAGAATTCTTTTTAAATCCAATCTTATGGTTTCCTGTGCTACATCTAGGAAACCTAATTAACTGACTTGCTAAAAAACTAAAAATATAGTATGGGTAAATTCCTTTGTACAACCTACTGATTTTGAATTAGCTGTCTTCTGTGATGAGTCAGGTGGCTATATTTTAATGTACAGAAATGGGTTGAAAGAGAGAGATTGCACCTTTCTGGGTTTTTGAAACACATCCAAAACAGGCAGCATGTTGTACTGAAAAAATCCCAGGCCTTTGAGGCAAGCAACGGAAGGTTTAGATTCTGACCTCATAGCTTACAACTCAAATGGCACTAGGTATCCTCTCTGCTGTCAGCAGTGTGAAGGTAATTATAAAGGGCTATAGTGATATCTGAAGATATAAAGCATCTAGCATAATGCCTGGCAAGAAGTAGTAGCAGCATCAGTAGTAATAGTTATTGTAATTATTATAGCTACCATTTAGTGCTTTCTCATTTAGTCAAACACTATGCTACATGCTTTTTAACAATTCCATTATTTAAAAATCTCAACTCCATGACCTGGGTTTTATTATCCCAATTTAAAATGGAAACTGATATAAAGAAAGTTTATGTGACTTGTCTATAGTTCACTGAACTACCTATTAAAGTCAGGATTCAAATACATGGTAGTCTGACATTAAAGCTCAGTTTTTCTTATAACTAGAAAGACAAAATAGCTTGTATTATTACAGTTTATTCAAAATGCTTTCATTAAATAAGAGATATAGTTGTATTCTATGTTACATGCTAAGAATGCAAAGTGAAATAAGTGAAGCCCTTTACTTTTTTTTTTTTTTTTAATGTTTTTTATTTATTTCTGAGAGAGAGAGAGAAACAGAGACAGTGTGAGCAGGGGAGGGTCAGAGAGAGAGGGAGATACAGAATCGGAAACAGGCACCAGGCTCTGAGCTGTCAGCACAGAGCCCGATGTGGGGCTAGAACCCACGAACCGTGAGATCATGACCTGAGCCGAAGTCAGGCGCCCAACTGACTGAGCCACCCAGGCGCCCCTGAAGCCCTTTACTCTTAAGCTATTCTACTGAAATGGAGGCAGAAGAGGTGGAAAGAAAAAAAATAGTTATGAAATTCAGAGAAATAAAAGATGCCCTATATGAGGTATAAAGGCATGCTATGAAGTGCTACTTCAACCCCCCCCCAAAAAAATTCAAAAATCTATGAGAGGTACTGTTTTAAACTTAGTGGGATATTAATGTGCTGTAGTTTTCTACTTTAAAACAAGCCTTAAAGAGATGCAATCCAGCATCTGTTTCCATGGAAACAAACAGAAGGACAATTTTACCAAGAAGTACTCCCCAGTTTGATTTTGCATAGTCATGTATACATAATTTAAGACGGACATTTTAATAATGAGTTTGGAATGAACTGTTAATGGACAACAGACATTTACTTAAAGGTTTTTCTTTCTTACCGTCAGCCATTAACCATTTTTGGAAGAAAGTAAAAAGCTATCTTTCTTTATATATGAAGGTATTTTTTTTTCCAAGTAGTTGGGGCCTCAGAATGATATCCAAGTTACTCATCAAGACAAATGACTTCTTTGTAATATGTCTATTTCTTATAGGTACTCATCACTGAAAATAAAATTGGTGGCATTTAAGAATTTAAATTTTTTTTACATTTCAATGTTGTTCAAAGCCTGTTATTTAATATTGCAGTATATTGGTGAATATAAACTCTTCCCTGTCAATTCTTTATAACTTTCTTAGCTGTTTTAGAAGATGCAAATGTGTTATTCAGCTTCTCATTATCCTGTATCAGCAACAAAATAATCATTAGGAAAATTATTCTTATCAGTGTCTTAATTTCTTATGTTTGGATTTTACTCAGGTAATTGAAATATTACTTTACCCAGTCCATGAATTACATGCAGTTCCCAATGGGAAGTTAAAAGCTGTGCAATTGCTTTGAACTAAAACCTTTAAGTAGCTTAATGAAGCATGTGCCTTTTAGGCTCAGTAAGCATATTATAATGGAATAAGGAAGTCAAGTTCTTCATAGCATTAAATTCTTTCTTAACTAGCCCTTTAGCTTATGGAGATTTAGAATGTCAATTTCTGATCTCGTAAATATAAAGGCGAATTTCAATACTATAGGACTGAAAAATAGGATTTTAAAGTCATACTCCTCATCTCAAGTTTTTGGGCCAGTGACAGGCCAGCATTTTGAGAAAAAAAAAAGTATTGTGAATTATATAGAACACTGGAGTATTGGGGGTAACAGGGAGAAGAGAT